GAAATCTTTGATATGCATGTTTCAATTTGAAAATTCATAGAGGTCAAGCAACTAATAAACAGCCATGGATGAGTGGGAGGAGGCTTCCTGAGAGAGGTGGTAGAGTGCAGTAATATGAAGGGTAAACGGGGAACATTAAACTAGGGAGGATTAAATGGGGTGGGGGAGTGGGAGAGCAGAGCAGAGGAGGGAGTGTGGAGAGGGATAAGTAATATTAAAGGTCTTTAGAAAAAGCCATATGGAAACCTATCACTATAGAAGCTTCTTAAACTATGTACATATACACCATAAAAGGAGAGTAAAAGGAGTTATCCTGTAACTATGATTTCTAAAAAGGAAAAATATAGTGTCCACTTTGAAGGTTATAATTACAGACCAGCATCACCCTCTAATGTTTAGATGTTTAACTGCACAATATTTTAGATTTCAAAAGTTGGGATTTTAAAAATGTATGCAAAATTACAAAACAATCTCTTCCTATGTGAGCATCATATAAAAAAGTTAGGGCATGGTAAACAATCATCAGGAATACTGAGTTTCAACTGCTTCACTGACCTGCCATCCCAGAGTCCCAGAATCCACCTGCAAACTTCACCTTAGCTTCACCCCTTGTCCCCCATTCTCTCATCTTCAAGCTGCCTGTGCCCTTGTCCTCATATGTTAAGATGCTAATTATGAACTATATGATGCTAATTATGAACTATCAGTTGCTTTCTAGAATCAATTTGGAATATGGTTGATTTCTGCATGGCTATGAGGTAAACTCCTGCTTTAATATCTACACATATCCAGGCTTGCCTTTCCCCAAGTCACATGCTTTGCCGCCATCCGCAACTCTGTTCAGCAGAGCCGAGGAAAGACGACACAGATACCAAGGTGAGGTTCAGGCTTCTTCTTCTCACTCTCTCTCACTCTTTATTACACACTTCAGCTCTTCATATAGCGTTCCCAGCAGCCCTCCCCCCAGCCAGGACCAATCAGGGCACACACACACACACACACACACACACACACACACACACACACACATACACACACACACACACACGTAGCGGGCAGGCAGAGTGGCAGCTTATTGGGCCACGTAGCAGGATCATGCTCGATGATGTCTCTGATCAAGCAGGCAGCACATGATCGGGCTTATTGTGCTTGCGCACGCAGGTTGGAGTAAACAAGTGAGGGGCACGAGGCTTGGCAGCCAGCCAGGGCGCCATCTTGGCCGGCTCTACCGCGCCTGCTTCCCACAATGCTTCCTGTCTTTTGGGGGTTTTTTATTGTATTTTTGTGTATTTCATACAGAATATCTCAAACAATCTTAATCATCTTTATACCCTAATCCCCACCCACATCCTCCCATACCCCCCCCCGAAGCCCTATACTCTGCCATTCATCTTATGACACACTGTGTCAAGTCAGTATCCCTAGCCCTTCCCCAGTGTAAGTTCATTCACTGAGGTCTAGTCAGCCTATCTGGAACACTGCTCATATGCTTCCTGTCTTTTTTTTAACTCCCAGATGAAGCAGGAGCACCCCTTCATGAACTTCTGTAATGCAGTCTCTTCATCTATCTAACCTGTAACTGTCACCAGCAGTTTAGCCTGTCAGAGGTCTCTACCTAGAGGAGTCATAAGGAAGGAATTGCATAACTTCCTTACCTCAAACCTTTGACCAAGAAACCCAGATGTCCAAGACAAGAAAGGGCTTGGAGTCAGAGGTATCCAGATCAGAACTCTAGGCTGTCTCTAGGCCATATCAGACTCAAAACACCCTTTCACCCTGATGTTGAAGATGTTTCTCTGGGGTAAAACCTTCATTTGTTCCTATCCTACCACACCTGCAAGTCTCTCTGCAGTGTCTTAGAGGTTTTAATACAAATAAAAGACAAGGTCGAGGAGGCAGATGGGGAAAAGGAGGGAGAGGAAGAGGAGGAGGAGGAGGAGGAGGAGGAGGAGGAGGATATGTTTCAGATAGAAACAAGGTCACATATTGCATATGCTATACCCACTTGAGGATGTGACATTCCCTCTGTTGTGAATACTGCTGGCTAATGCTAAAGGAATAAACAAAATATAGAAAGACAGCATAGGACTGCAAAGATATAGTGTATAGGCTAAAAGAATCTCTCCTCCTCCCCTGCCTCCTCTTCCTCCCCACCTCCTCCTTCTCCCCTTCTCTGCTAGAGAGAACCCCGGACAAGATGCACTTGCTAAACAGACCCCTTTCCCACTGAGTTAAAGCCCAGGTATTCTGCATTTCTAAGAAGCTTCATGCTGGCCACAGAACTCACAGTTCTCCTTTTCTAGCATGATGGTACTTTCCCTAGTACCATCATACAATATAATTTGATGATATTTAGATTCCCGCCCTTATTACATTATTACATTTGTCCTTTTTTCTTACTGCTAGTCAGACAGAAATAACAGCCACTATTGTTAGGCCTTAATGCTCTGAGAATTGGTTAAAAGTAACTTCAAAGATTCCTACAACATTTGTGACTTTTCAATATATATTTCATTATTTATGGGTACATATATTTTCTTACCATAAAGTCTGATTTATCATGCTTCAATCAGTAAGAAATCTGCCTCAATCCCCCTTCTAGACATAGACTACTACAACGGCTACTGTCCTTATAATGACCTGAAGGTCTGCAAGATGCTGCACACTCCTTACTAAATTATTCAATAAATCGTATTCACCTCATTTCCATAATCAATTTCACTCTATTGCATTCTAATTTTTTATTGTGGTAAACTTTATTATAATGGGGGCATTGCTAGGAAATATCATCTCAAAATACAGGGTACAAGGACAAAAGATGAACTGAAGGCACCGTCTCTTCTCTTTGCCTTACTGTCTTACAATTAGGATGTAGCAAAATATTTGTGACCCAAGGCTGCTGTGCTAAATGATTTACCATTCTGATATTTGTAAAATCTAGCACTAGAGGATAAATAAAAGCTTAAATCAATGTGTTTTCCCTGAACTTGTAGAAAATAAATTTCACTTTTGTAACTTGTTCAAATCCATGCCCATTCCCTCCCCTCCCCCTGAAGAGGTAACCCTAAAATCTTTTAAGGATTAAAGAGTCCAAATATTTTTGGCATTTTTGTCCTTTGGAACTGAATATGTTGCTAAGAGGCCCAAGGACATTGTGAGATTTAGCCAAGAAATTGGCTACTTTTCTTTGGAGCCTTTTTTCCCTAATTGCCTAGCCAATTCCTACCTCCTATTCTTATCCTCTCAACAGGTTACCCAACTTGCAGACAGGGAAACTGGATGAAGACCTCTCTGGCTTCTTCCACGCTGAACAGGGACACAGGGTGAGACAATTGGAGTCTATCTAAAAGACTCCCAAATTGCATAACTCTTATCTCTAGGGGGAAAAGAAAAGCCTTGACTTTCCTGGTGAATAGGAGATATGAAGGAGAAGTAAAGGCAAGAGTAATTAGTATTACAAGTTCTAGACAGGGAACTAGAAAAAAGTCAGAACAGGGCAGTTTTCAAATGTTCATATGAGAGTCCATTGGAATTTCTTGACAGGGGCTTCCAAAAGCATCCCTCATTTTTCTTTTGTCTTCCAAGGCTGGACTCTAGAGTGATGGATCCAGGATTTGCTTTCAGGTATTCTGATAGCTGTTGGAGTGGTTAGAATCAGTGTTAGTTCCCTCTCAAAGTCTTCAAGATCACAGAAGGGTTGTGATTTTGGCATGTGAATTTCTTTTGTTGTTTATGATTCTGATATGAGAATTAAGTTGAAGTATGCTTTTGTTTGTATTATCAGGGTGCCTAGATCCTTTTTTTATTGATTGTGTAAAGCTAGTTGGTATGGGGTTCAGGTTCTCTCAGGTTCAATTTAGAGGGAACTGATGGCTTCCGATCAGCTATTCAGGAGTACCCACAGAAGCCCAATTCAGGTTCCAATCAGGTACACTCAGGCTTCCTTCACCACAGGGAGGTAGGATCCCTATGCTCTCAGGCAGTCCCCTTTGTTCTCAGCCCCTATGCCAGAGGAAGGCCAGAGAGAGGCCAGAACTTGGCACTCTCTGGTGGTCTGCTGAGATCAGAGCCACTACACCAATAGAGGTTGAAACCCACCCTCTCAGGCTGTCTGCTAGGATCTCAGCCCTAGCCTACCAAAGCCAGATCTGCCCTGGGGCCTTGAGAGGGAGCTCAGGAATTTCCAGGTAAGGGGATGGATATGGTGCAATTAGGGGAAGCTCAGCACCACGTGGAGGCAGGATCTGGGGGATCTCAGGCTCTCCCCTGTGGATTCAGGCTCTCTGCCAGAGGGAGGCCCATTCTAATTCTTTTTATTTATTTTATTTTTATTTATTTATTTATTTATTTACATGCAGGTATTGCCTGGGTGTAGGTAAGTGTGCCCATGTCATGCAATGCTGGCAGAGGACAGAAGAGGCTGTTGGCTCCCCTGAAACTGGAGTTAAGGACAGTTGTTAGCTGCCATGTGGGTGCTAGGATTCGAACCTGGGTCTTCTGCAAGAACCACCAGTGTTCTTAAACACTGAGCCATCTCTCCAGGCCAGGCCCATTCTAATTCTTAAAATAGTATTTCAAACACAATGTACACAGCAGTTCCCAATTACACTGAGTACATTTTACCCCTCAACAATGTGAGTGGTTTGAAAGTGAGAGCTATTTGTTCACTTTTTCAAAGATTATGATATACAAGGATCTGTGAAAACAAATCAGAAGTTTGTAATGCTATCAGGTTAATCAATTTATGACTTCGCACATTACCCACTGTGAAGAACCCCATGCTATGATGACTCTTTCACTGTACAAAAGACCACAGTGAGTGGATGGGCTTGTGTCATGCACCAAAACACATTTTCCTTATAGAAAAATTTTCCAACTCAATCTTTTTCTTCTAAATTTTAGCTGTCTCTGGTCACATGATCAAAAGGATCATCAGATGTGGACATCCTTGTTGATGCTCAACCCTGTGTGGACTCTGTGAGTTCACTTTCCTCTCCAGGTTACTCAAGAGCTGAAAATTCTGTTTCAATAAGAGGTTTCAGAAATTTCTCCACCTTGGTTAATCTTTGCTTGAGTTTCTGCTGCATCGACTCATACTCGGCCAAGGTGCGGGCAAATCGTGTTTGTAGGAGGTCCACTGACCCCTCCATCCGAATGACCTTCTCTTCAAAATCTTTAGGGTCACTACCAGCATTTCCAATGTTTACATCCAATAGACCGTCTTTCATTAAGATTTGCCTCCCTTTCTCCTCCAGCATAGTTTTGGCATCTGGGTACTCAGTAAGAGCTTCCATGAGGTCATCTTTGGAGAGACAGAACAGGTCTGAGTAGCCAATGCTTTTAATATTAGCTGTTCTTCGATTGCCAGCTTTACTGCCTTTGATGTTAAGAATGCTGATCTCACCAAAGTAGCTGCCATCACTCAACACCACAAACTGAGTGATTCCATCATCTGCCACCACGGCAAGTTTGCCTTCTTTGATGATGTACATCTCTCGCCCAATGTCCCCTTTCTTGCATATGTAATCACCAGGACTGTATACTTGAGGTTGTAACTTCAAGACCAACTCCACCAACAGACCAGCTTCACAGTCAGCAAAAATGCGAACCTTTTTTAATGTGTCTAAATGAACATTGATGGCAATCTCTGCCCTTAGTTTGTCAGGCAGATATTTCAATACTTCTTTCTCATCAACTGTCTTTTTGTTGGTCCACAGGTAATCGAACCATTTAATAACCCTCTTTTCCATATCTTTGCTTACATTTCGAAAATTCATGTACTGTTTGACAGCATCGACTCTTGCTTGAAATTCTGCCCTGGCTGCATTCATGTTGGAAATCATGGAACCTATGTTACCGACGATGGTGGCAAAAATTAAAACTCCAATTAAGAAGTCAACCACCACAAAGATATACTCAGAATCCAGCACAGGAGGTGGTGTTTCACCAATGGTTGTCAAGGTTAATGTAGACCAGTAAAGGCTGTAGACATATTTTCTAGCCAAACGGCCAAATTCAGGATCATTAACATCAGGGTAGACCCATGTATCATTCCCAAATCCAATAGCTTTTGAAATAGAGTAGTACACACAAGCATTCCAATGGATAATGATGACAATGTACATAATGAGGTTTGAAATCCTGAAGATATTTGGATAGCTGGTCCTCGTTTCTGTTCTCTGGAAGAACTCAAACATGCGAGAGACCCTTAATAATCTGTTTAATCGAATTTCTGGGTAGTTCCACCCCAACTTAAAATACAGCAGATCCGTTGGTACCACTGACAGGACATCAAGTTTAAATTGCAAGTTTTCTTTGTATTTCTCTATGAGTTTCAGTCTATCTTTCACCAGCAACCCTTGTTCTAGATAACCTGAAATAGAAGGGAAAAATCATAATAATATTTCTGCTTGCTATGCCACTTAAGGTAGTTCTTAATTAACTTTATGGAGGTCAAAATAAAAATACTTTTCCATAAATGTGTCTTAGGTAATACAATAATCCATGAGAAAAAAATCTACATATGGCTATAGAAAAGTCTCTTATGGAAATAAACACTTTTTAGTGCAAAGAATGACAAATAAATAGACATAATCTCTAGTGAGACATATATATATGTATATATGTATGTATGTATGACAGGATTTAGCATGTCTCCCAGGTGAAATATTCCTTTTATGAATTACATTCACATTCTGGCACTATTATGATACAGTAAGTTACATGTTTGGTTTCTATCCTGTTTCTGACACACAGCTACACAGCTATTAAAATCTTCATGATTTCCTGAGCAACAATAGTACTAGCTGTACCTTTTGTTCTGATATTTGGACTTTGGCCTCAGTCGCCAGTGCAAAACCCCTAATCTCTTTGAATTCCCAGGGTAACAAAAGTGTCTTCTAGTCTGTGGAGGCAACTTTTGGTAGACTCACAGATGAGGCTGGTCACCAAAAAGATTAAACCATGTTTAGAACTTGGAATTTTCAACCTCCATGTCATTTCCTCTTGCGGGGGGGGGGCGGATAATTATCTATCATCTCTATAGAATAAGACCTTTTATTTAAAAAATCCTTGACTCTAGTGTTAAGAAAGCACCCAAATGAACAAACAAATGCTGGGTGCTGGAAGTGTGTCATAACCCAATTCAACAAAGACAGAAGCTCCTGCTCTCAAGTCCTTTCCACGCTCGCCTTGCACACCTCTGCATCTGCCTGTCCATCTGTATAATTTATTATACATTTACTAATATGATAAACTAATGAATGTGTTTCTCTGAGTTCTGTTGAGTCATGTTAACAAACTGAACCCAAAGAAGGATTGTGGGAACCCTAATTTATAGGGAGCTGACTGAGAAGCACAAGCTGGATATTGTGTCAGGAATCTAAAGTAGAGCCTTATGAGATCCATCCCTGTGGGGTCTACAGTAACTCCAGTTAGCACCCCAACTGGTTAAATTGTAGCTTTTATTACAGAATTACCTGGTATGTGGGGCTTTCCCCACAGAGATTTTGGTGATCACCCGTGTATTGTTTTGGCTAGAGTTAAGAGTTTATTTTTCCTAGCATGCACATTTCTTAGAAAGTTTCTTGAACACTCTGGTATGGGCTTATTAACTTAGGCCACTCATTGACAGAATCCCAGCCCTGTTCTAGAAGTGTAGGTTCCTGCCCTATTTATCCCACTATATTGAGTATTCATGCTGTGTGTAAAGCCGCAATGCCTCTTGAGATTACATTTTCATCTCTTATGCTTGTCCTCCAGGCTTTCCTTAATCACCTAGGATTTTCTCTTGCATGCTGTACTGTGGACCTTCTACATTAAATCTGAAATTTCAGCATTAGGGGGAGAGTTTGTTTTTCCTCCTATAATAACTGAAAAAGCTGCAAACAAAATTGAGCCACTGGACATAGCACTGACATTTAGGGAACATCCTTGCAATGACTCTTAAAAGCTTTTACTCCATGTAGACTGTTACATTTACAATGGGGAGCAGTAGTGAAACAGTGAGCTTATACCTACTTACTAAACACACTTCAAGTACAGCGTTATTGAGCGGTACTCCTGAGTTGATAATGTACCACCAGGAGCTCCAAAGTTCATATTTCCTACAAAATTTCCAGTAATGCACTCCTAGAGAACTTCTTTTCTCTGTGCCTTAAAATTATCTCCATGTCAGGCAGCAATCACTCTTTCCCATAGAGTTTGACAAAGTATTTCTGTTCTCGCTATTATTCTCACCTGGTATAAACCCAGTGAACAGGATAATGGAGGAAAGCCACCAACCCACACTCAAAAGGTTGCCTAGTTACATCTTTCTGGATCAGCTTCAGTGACCTAAGCCAATGAGTGGGACATATTACTCTTACTTTCAGCTGAGTTTCAGTTTATCTTGAAGAACAGATGGACTTGAATCTCTAGCATTATATGCTAGAGATAAAAGCACAAACTTTGGGGCTAGAGAGATGGCCCAGCGGTTAAGAGCACTGACTGCTCTTGCAGAGGACCTGGGTTTGATTCCCAGCACCCACATGGCGGATACAAACCATCCTTAACTCCAGTTCCAGGGGAATCCGAAGCCCTCTTCTGACCTCTGTGACATTGCACAACACAGGTACACTCACATGCATGCAGGCAATACACTCGTATACATAAAATAAAAATAATAAATAAAATATTTTTTAAAAGCACAAACTTTTAGATGATCCAAAACAGAACATACTCACCTGTCCTTGTTCGTACAAACATATCGACAAGATAGACTATATCTGATACATAATCAAAAACGAGCCAATACACTAAGTAATCAGATTGGAGTTCATCAAAACATGCTCTATAAAAGAAAAAATGTATAAATAAAATGAAATGGAGGCTAATTGGGGTAAAGTCCCGTTTGCATTATTTTTTTCGTGGTGAAAAGTACAAAGTGCAAAGGCTCAGGGAGTTCCTTAGAACACTTGGCCAAGTGTGGCTTTCCCACGTCTTTCCCTTGGTGGTTACGATTTGTGTTCTTACAGTTTGAAATTCTGGCACCTTTACATTACTACTACTGGGATTATAAAAACATAAAATAATGAGCTATAGAAACGATCCCTGAAAGTATAGTCTTTTAGATAGACTCACTGAAGGAGTACCCCAATTGCCTCACCCTGTGTCCCTGTTCAGCGTGGAAGAAGCCAGAACGGTCTGCATTACCTATTGGCAATTTGGGTAGCCTCTTCAGAGGATAGTGTGATAAGAATAGTAGGTAGGAATTGGCTAGGCAGTTAGGGTAAAAAGACCCCAAAGAAAAGTAGACAGTTTCTTGGCTAAAAGTTAAAATGTCCTTAGGCCTCTTAGCAACATACTCTGTTCCAAAGGCCAAAAATGTCTAAAGTATTTGGGACTCTTATCTAACCCCTAAAAGATTTTAGGGTTACCTCTTCAGAGGGGGAAATGTTAGAGTAGCAAAAAGCCTCCCCAAAAAGAAAACATACATGAAGTTGTCAGGGAAAAAGTGATGGGGAGATATGGGAGGAGTTGGAGAAGGGGGAGTGGGCATGGATTTGATCAAAACATATTATATGCATGTATGAACTTCTCAATAATTTTTTAAGTTAAAAAACCATAAAATAAGAATAAATTATTTCAGCTGGGGGGATATCTTAGTTGATAAAGAGCTTGTTGTGAAAGCAGGAGTGATCTGAGTTCAATCCTCAGAACCTACATTTTTTAAAAAGGCCAGACATGGTGGTTTGAACTTGTAACCCCAGAACTGGGAAAGCAGACATAACCAGGTCCTTGTGCCTTGCCAGCCAGCCTAGCTATATTGGCAAATTCCAGGTCAGTGAAAAACCCTGTCTCAAAAATCAAGGTGGATGGCATCTTGAGGACACCTGAGGTTGGCCTCTGGCCTGCACATGAAAACATAAATGTGTGCATACACCCTCATACACATATACTGCCACAAGCATGTACACACACACACATACACACACACACACAAGCTGAAGCCAAATTATGCTGGGCAAATTCCATTAATCACCAGGTCTATATTCCCTATCTATTCCCAAAAGTTTCAAGAAAATTGTTTCTACTCTTTTTTGGTCTTTTTGAGACAGGGTCTCCCTGCAGCCCCACCTGGCCTGGAACTTACTATGGAGACCAGGCTGGCCTTAACCACACAGAGATCCACCTGCTTCTGCTTTTGAGTGCTTAAACTAAAGGTGAATGCCACCACACTATGTTTCTACTCTTGAATGACTAAGATGTTTCTAAAAGACCTAGATATCTGATTATTTCTTCAACTATTGACATTTTTTCTGATAAGTCAAAAACCAGAGTTTCTCCCAATGTGTTAGCTATGATTGAACAATCAGAGGATTAAGAGTCCTTACTCTTGTTCCCATCCCAGCCCAGGACTGTAAGTCCAAGCACATTGGCAGCCTACTCCTGACCTCAGGAAAATATTCTAAGAATAATTCTGCCTTTTTTTCCAACCCGTGGTAGAGAAAGGGAGTGTGTCCTGAAGAGCTCTAGGTCAAATTGTTTAAGCAGTAAACTTGGAAACTAGAAGAGGGCTGAACACACACACACACACACACACACACACACACACACAATTACATATTATAGACCTTGCAATGATCATTGTCCAGTTGTACATCACAGGTAAAGAGATGCAAAACAGCCAGTTGTAGTATGTGTTTCCTGAAGGATCAATAACCACGACTTCTTTCTTCTCCCTAGCAGCAATTAGAAATAAAGAATAAGGTTACCAAGAACTAGGAATGTTTTTATTTACCATATCAAATGCAGTTCTGCCCTTCACACATGATTAGTGAAATAGAAGATGGAAAAGCTCCCCCTGACTTAGGAAGATTAGCTTGCTAAGTATACTCACCATAAGAAACTGGTTGGTGAGGGTGAATAGATAGTTAAATCACCAGTCTTCTATTGAACCATGTGTTAGACTTTTGTTAAAGTCCTGGTTTTACTGCAGCAGTGCAGTTAGTTCAACACTCCAACCACTAAGTGGCACAGATTACAGAAAGCTGTGAACAGCCCAACACTCCTTTGGAAGGTTTGCATGGTAGATCAGTGACTTTGTCACCAATTCCCTTTCCCTACTGGGTAACTAAATGTCCATGGACTACATTGTTGGGGGTGGGGGAATGACTCAATGACTTAACTGTAGAAAAAGAACAATCTAACACTATTTAGTACCAAGTACTTGCTTCAAAGTGTGTAGAAAGGATGCTCTAAGAGATGCAGTAAAAGACATAAGGGAGGCACAAAATATATGGACAAATAGGCATTCTTACTGTTCTGGTACAAAAATCTGTATTTAAAAAAAACTTTTCTCCTTTTAAAAGTGTCAACAACTTTCTGAACAGGCACATATGATTAAACTGTTGTTTGATAAGTTACTTTGTTTAAATAAGTTCAGAAAACAATTCTACTTTAGTAAAAAAATTTCTTTAAAAGCTTTGCAAATTTTTTTATTTGCCTTACTCTTGTGAAATTCTAGATTTCAAATGTTTGTTTTAGAAGGAATCCTCCAAGAGGTAGGTGTTTCATTGGCATTTGTGTTGCTGTCAAAAGCACCAAGGCTTTGGAGTCCTCTGGAGTATTAGATATCCAGTGCTTACCACTCCAAAATGTCAAAGAAATCATCATATTTTTATTTCAGTCTCTAAAAACCGATCATAAGATCTTAGGCACCCAAAGATCCTTAAACCTAAACATTTCCCAGTGATTTTTCTTCATCACTGTTTGTAGAAAGGGATTACACAGCAAAATATTCTTCATTGGAAAATTTATAATTGCAAAATTTAGGGAACTTAGAGAAAACTTTTAAACTCATTTGATAACAATTGTACAAAATATTTGTTTTTAAATATTTAAAGACATTTACGCTTTGCATGAGGTCTTTTTGCTTAAAGCTTCCTGTATTATGGAAATTTTTCCCTACGTCTAAAATCCATCACAATTTTGTGCCTATTTTCAATGCCAGTAAAAATATTTACTCTCCTTTCTTGTCTTTGCTTTTCTCCTCCTCCTTCTCTTTCTCCTTTTCCTTCTTCTTTTTCTTCTCTGGGTCCTTTTTATTTTCATTCTGGCCATCTGCCTTGCTGGGGAAATTGAGTATGCACTGTTAAAATAGGAAAATAATACGGGCAGAAAAATATCGCTCATGCGAAGTCTCACTTACCTCTTCTTCTCCTTCTTCTTTTTCTTTTTTTCTTTTGGCTCGCTAAAGAAAAACAATATCTCGGTCACATAATCACTTTACACTCCTTTTTACTCTCCTCTCCATTAAGCAAAAACTCTCAGCTCCACATTCAAAGTCCTTCCCCAGTGCTCAGAAACCAAAAAGATGGAAAAAATTGAAAATTATTCAGACAAATAAACAAAGATCCAAAGGTTAATGGAGAAAATTGAAAATGACAGAGGTAAGTGCATTAAATAATGAAATTCAAGAGGTTAATTTAAGAAACAACAGTCTCCAAAAAGAATACATTTTCAAAGTTCTGGTTAAAAATAGGAATTTTTTATTTATGAGTTTTAATTTAATTTTAGAATTGGCCTTTGTTAATAAAACGGACCTGTAATTTTATTAGCTAATAATTTGTCAATCAATTTTTCCAATGAAAACAATCTTAAAAGGGAGTCATCATCAAATAATTGAAAATGAACTTATATTTTGATATTTCCTCTACAATTTCATAGTAAGAGTTCAAATATTATTATATGTCCTCAACTATAGCAATAACTGAATAATACTTTCTCTTAATACTATATCATAATTGCATAATTGTTTATATTAAACAAAAATAAAATCAACCCAGTGGCAGATATTCATTTTTAAAATGATTTTCATATCATTCACATTTATTAATAAAAACATCAAGAATGCCATGAAAATCCCATCAATTTTCTTTTTTTAATATTTTATTTATTATTTTTATTTTATGTGTATGAGTGTTTTGCATGCATGTATGTGAGTGCACCCGTGTCGTGCATTGCCACGGAGGTCAGAAGAGGGCTTCAGATTCCCCTGCAACTGGAGTTAAGCGCAGTTCATACCTGCCATGTGGGTTCTGGGAATCGAACCCGGGTCCTCTGCAAGAGTAGTCAGTGCTCTTAACCACTGAGCTGTCTCTCCATCCCCCCATCAATTTTTTTTAGAGGAAACAATCTTGACAAAAGCAATTTTTCATGACTAGTCAAAAAGCTCTGTGGTAATTCATTCAAGTTATAAGGTTGGACAGCTAGTTATCCATCATATAATTCAGTGGGGTGTCTGAGATGTAATGTGAATGACAGGGAACAAGTAACCTATCTATGGCTCCATATGGAGATCTTTAGAAGAAGCTGATGAAGCATAGGGCATGGATGGGTCAGTTAGCAACCCAAAATAGGCTGTGTCTATACTATAGATCCACCTAGAGGTGGCCTTGAAATACAGTAGTAAGGTTAATCTCCCCCATGACACAGCTTCAAGCACTACACAGTTATCCATTATCTATGGAGAAAGATATGGCTCCTTGAAGACTAGGTGCTGTGTTCCTGAATACTGCATATGTGAGAAGTCAGTAGTATTAGGTGGTGCTCTAAGTTTATATGTTAACAGAATGCATAAGTCTAGGAACCAAGCTATCTAACTAGGGGTGACTCACATAGGGAAGGTACACTTCCCATTCCTGCAATTCTAGGCTCTGTGGTTCTGAAGGTCCTCATTTCAGGGGTGTCTATACTTCTGCCAACAGGTTCAGTTAGAGTTCCATTAAACATTAATCTATAATTATCCCCCTGCCACTTTGGATTCCTCATTCCAAGAAACCAATGGGCAGAGAAAGGTCACCAGACTGGAAAATCTGTGGTCCTTATCACCAGAACGGCTGGTGTTACATAATGAGAGAATAGAAAATGTATTTTTCATGCACAGGATCCACTGTGGTACCTTTTGGGATTCCCCAATCCACCTTTGGTAATATATGAACAAGAATAGTAGCCATGACACCAGCAAGACATGATGACAAGCTAACATCTGCTTTATTCTAGACTTAATGTTCTGGGCAAGTGTGAGCAGACTCCAGAATGAACAAAGGATAAGGAATTTCAGCTGGAGGGAATTTTCTGCTTAAGAAAGTAGATCTCAGCAGTGCACAAGTAGGCCTGGCGGCTACAGTGATACATAAGCTTCAGGTACTCATTCTCCACCTACCACAGACAGTTGGTTGCTGATAGTTCAGTTTCTCCTATCCCTTGACAGGCCTGGATGAAGGAAACCACCATCCTCGAGTTTCTGCCCAAATTCCTAGGGCTGCTCTTATTGAATGACTATCTGTGGCTATAAAGACCTATTACCTGAATATGACATAACTTTGAAAGCACATCCATGCTCCAAAGCTCCCCGTGGGATCACATTGTATCAATCTTATTCTCTGAAATTTAACACGCCCCTATACCTAATTCTGCCACCACCAACCCCCTTGCAGATATCATTCCAGAGAGCACACCCAACAAATTTCTGCACACAGGCCTCTATCTTAGATGCCTTTTGGAGGATGTGACCTAAGATATATTGTCAAAATTTCTGCACACAGGCCTCTATCTTAGATGCCTTTTGGAGGATGTGACCTAAGATATATTGTCAATGTTTCATAACTTTTGTCATTCATTCTTTCTTAAAGGAGGGCAATTGCACAAACAACATAAACCTGTTTCTTTAAGCATCTATTCGAATAAATGAATAGACATACACATACTATTTATAATGTAAGCGGCTGCATTTTCCAGATATAAATGGCCAAATAAAAAAAGGTAGAATATCACTGCTATTAAATTAGTTCACCTGCTAACATTTAAAAATGTTTTCTTAGCCAGGCATGGTGGCACACGTCTTTAATCCCAGCACTTGGGAGGCAGAGGCAGGCGGATCTCTGTGAGGTCGAGGCCAGCCTGGTCTACATAGGGAGTTCCAGGCCAGCTGGGGCTACAAAAAGACTCTGTCTCAAAAAAAAAAAAAAAAAACACCTTGAAATTTTGAACATTTGAAATTTGCCCTGTTCTGACTTTTTTCTGGTTTCCTGTATAAAACTTGTAATGCTAACTACTCTTGCCTTTACTCTCCTTCACAGCTCCTATTCACTAGTCAAGGATTTCTTCCCCCTCCCCACAGATAAGAGTTATGCAATTTGGGAGTCTTTTAGATGGACCCACTGAAGCGGTACCCCAATTGCCTCACCCTGTGTCCCTGTTCAGCATGGAAGAAGCCAGAGTGGTCTGCATCCCAATCCCCTATCCTCAAGCTGGGTAACTTCTTCAGAGGATGGTGTGATAAGAATAGGAGGTAGGAATTGGCTAGGTAGGCAGTTAGGGTAAAAAGATCCCAAAGGTAAGTAGCCAGTTTCTTGGCTAAAATTCACAATTTCCTTGGGCCTCTTAACAACATATTCCATTCCAAAGGCCAAAAATGTCAAAAGTATTTGGGAGCTCTTATCTAATCCTTAAAAGATTTTAGGGTTTCCTCTTCAGAGGGAGGGAATGTTAGAGTAGAAAAAAAAGTCCCATAAAAAAAAAGAAGAAAGAGTACATGAAGTTATCAGAAAAAAGTGATGGGGAGATGTGGGAGGAGTTGGAGGGGAGGGAGTGGGCATGGATTTGATCAAAACACCTTATATGCCTGTATGAAATTCTCAATAAATTATTTAAAAATAAATGAATAAAATAAAATAAAAATGCTTTCATCTGTAAACATACTTACTGGTCCTTGTTACTGCTGTTGTTAACATTGAAAAAAGCCATGGTGCCAGGCAGGAGCTGCTTCCTAAGAAATGAAAAATACACAGTGAAATCATCATAAGCAAACTATCTTAAAGAGCAAATTATTTTCAGTTTCTATTCATTACAAAAGTTTCCCAGATGATATTTGGAAAATACAAAGCTTCCGTGAAGCATAACTTGCAAGAAAGCAGCAATTTGAACCAAAGTGATTAGTAAATGTGTCCTAGTTTGTTTCTCCATTGCTGTGACAAAACACTCTGAACAATACTAACTTGGGGAGGAAAGGGTTTATTGGGCTTACATCTCCCAGGTCGCAGTTCATCAGAGAGCCCAAGGTAGGAACTCAGGGCAGGAACCTGGAGGCAGGAGCTGGAGCACAGGCCAGGGAGGAACTCTGCTCACTGGCTTACTCCCCTGGCCCATGCTCAGCCTGCTTTCTTATGCAACACAGGCCCACCTGCCCAGGGGTGGCACCACCCACAGTGGACTGGGCCCTCCCACATTACTCACCAATCAAGAAGGTGCCCCATGGACATGGCCACAGGCCAGTCCAATGAAGGAAATTCCCCAATTGAGGCTCCTTCAACCCAGGTGTGTCAAGTTGACACTAAAGCTATCCAGCACAAAATGTCTATTGATAATGTTCATGCCAAAGATTAGCATCATCTTTGGCTTTGAGTGAACTAAGTTGTGTGCCACTGACATCTACCTCAGATGGTCAGAAAAGACAGAAATAGGAAAAGAGTTTAAAATAGTGGAAAGTTAGAGTTAATGGAAAGAAATAAACAGGGGAACGAGATCATGAAAAAGGTAATACATTGCATAGAATGAGAACCCCGGATCCACACTGATACCACACTCCTTCAGTACCCTTCCAGGCCCCATGTTTGACCATGAATAATTTATCTCCTCATAAGGATGTTGGACTTCTCTCTTCTAACCACTTCTTCACCTGATGCATTTCCTGGAAGTAGGCTCTATGGGATACAGTGGTTTAGAAAATTACAGGCCACCCTCTCCTGTGCAATTGCTTCAGATCCCTGGAAGATGAATTCAGAAGAAGCAAGAAATTGGAGAGGGTTGGGGCATGAAGTTTCTCAGGAGCAGACATGAGTCTCAGGGAACAGGATGGAGCATGTTTATGACTGGGCACCTCGTGGCCTTAAATAATGGCACTGGCCATTATTTTCCAAGAGAAGGCAAAGGTAAGGAACAGAAGTAGCAAGATAATCCTGAGGTCTACATAGTATCGCATTAACAAGGGCATTTGCTAACCATAATCTGTGGAAGGAGACTTTTCATCAAAATAATTGCTTAAAACCCGTGTCCTAGGGGGTAAATCCACCTGCTCACCTTTGTGATGGTCCTCTCCTTATGTGTGAGTTGTTTCGAAAGGAAGTCCTTGCATGGGAGTTCTCCTCTGATTCATCAGATAGAGAGGTTCTGTCATTATTGTCAGAAAAGGAGCTGCAGTCCAAAAGGAGGCAGAGAGAATGTGACTCATGTTTAACCACGTCAGAGGAGCAGCACTTCCATGAGGGGGAACCCTTGTCTCAGCTCTTTCCTTTCCTCTTCAAATGAACAAGGACTTTTAATTAGAGTGACGTCAGAGCTGCGCAGGACGCATGGCACGCTATACAGTGTATGCCCAGCAAAGTACATTTAACTAAATGCATTTAATTAAGACTCCACTTTCTAGATCTCGCATTACTATTGATTGATACATTGACTGATGTTAACGTTCATCCAACTGAAAGTGAAGAATCTAAAGTTAGGTCATATTATTCCAGTGAATGAACTGTCACTTCCTAGCTAGTATTTCCTTCCACTAAAAGAAAAGCCAATCACATTTACGCACATTCTATTCATTTATGGGAGCTATTTTAAATTATACTTTTAAATTATATTATTTCATATTTATGTACATCCTCACATTTCCATACAACATGTCATCTATTTTATATGTCGCATGAGGAAAGACCCTGTCTGTGAACAAAGAAGTATTTGTCATAGATACTTAATACATGCTTCCAAAAGCTACCCACCATAATATTTTTCATGTAGGAGACAGCACACCGCTCCAAACTATAAATAAATTCACTAAACTAAATATATTATAAAATTTAAAGTTACAGGGCTAGAGAGATGGCTCAATGGTTAAGAGCTCTTGCAGAGGACCCAGGTTTGATTCCCGCACCCACATGGTGGTTAACAACCATCTGCAGCTCCAGTTCCAGGGGATCTGACAGCTTCTTCTGACCTCCATGGGCATCACATGACACGAGTGCACTTACATACATGCAGGCAATACACTCATACACATAAA